TCCTTTATATGCTCGCATGTCAAATATTGGCAATAAAACCCCCATTCAAAGGCAGTGATGATGTACTTTATATAAATCGAGACTCTAATTGGTCTCTATGATGATTATGTTAATTAAACATGCACATGCACTAAATAGTTTATGTTTATTGATAAAATACTTTGCGATTATAATTGCCTGAAGATGACATAATTCTTTATAAAATAATAAAATATGAAAATCAAGTGCAATGTAATTCATAAATTGTCGTGCTAAAAATGCATATATTGTCTATGTAAGTTAAGTGTCAATTGTGTTACAGGCACTTTAAGGTGTTACGTGACACTTACTCTTCACCAACTAATAACAATAAAGCTGTTTTATAATCTCCACTACATTCTGATTTTATTTCTTCATTTAAACTTTTACCATAATTTTCTTTGTATTTCTGTTTAATACCAGCTAGATCAATCTGAAAATACCAACCATACCAAATAGATTATAATAAGGGTGCCAGGTTTTTATAAAGTAATATCACTGTGGTAAAGTAAAATCAGTAAGATAAAGTAAAATCAGTAAGATAAAGTAATATCAGTAAGACAAATTAATATCAGTAAGATAAAGTAATATCAGTAAGATAAAGTAATATCAGTAAGATAAAGTAATATCACTGTGGTGAAGTAAAATCAGTAAGATAAAGTAATATCAGTAAGATAAAGTAATATCAGTAAGATAAAGTAATATCAGTAAGATAAAGTAATATCAGTAAGATAAAATAATATCACTGTAGATAAAGTAAAATCGGTAAGATAAAGTAATATCACTGTGGTAAAGTAAAATCGGTAAGATAAAGTAATATCAGTAAGATAAAGTAATATCAGTAAGATAAAGTGATATCAGTAAGATAAAGTAATATCAGTAAGATAAAGTAATATCAGTTAGATAAAGTAATATCAGTAAGATAAAGTAATATCAGTAAGATAAAGTAAAATCAGTAAGACAAAGTAATATCAGTAAGACAAAGTAATATCAGTAAGACAAAGTAATATCGAATAAGATACAGTAATATTAGTAAGATAAAGTAAAATCAGTAAGATAAAGTAATATCAGTAAGATAGAGTAATATCAGTAAGTTAAAGTAATATCAGTAGGACAAAGTAATATCAGTAAGACAAAGTAAAAACTGTTAGACAAAGTAATATCAGTAAGATAAAGTAATATCAATAAGATACAGTAATATTAGTAAGATAAAGTAAAATCCGTAAGATAAAGTAATATCAGTAAGATAGAGTAATATCAGTAAGTTAAAGTAATATCAGTAGGACAAAGTAATATCAGTAAGACAAAGTAAAAACTGTTAGACAAAGTAATATCAGTAAGACAAAGTAATATCACTCAGGCAAAGTAATATCAGTAAGACAAAGTAATATCAGTGAGCAAACGATTTACCGTGACAGTTTTGTTGGCGCTCTGCAACACATTATGAAGTTAATGGTAACAATTGTTTACGCTCATTTTAAATGGGATCAGTCCTCATAGCTAATAGCGTTCATTTGGTATTTTTATTAAGAAACTGTCCAAAAGATTTGATTACCTCAGATCTAGAAACTGATATTCTTATTAATCTGGAATCATTGGTACCAATTCCATCAAAAGCACCATGTAATCTTTCTACATAATAATCTACTGGATCTTCATACGACTTTACTGCAATGAGAATAAAAGAAAAAGCTCGGAAATTTTTGCTTTCTTAAGCTGATGTACAGTTTAGATTCTGGCAATTAACTATTCTTTACAGTAACAATTCAGAATTTTTTATTTAGTTGGTGCGCAAGATGGTTTCTGGGCATTTTTCTTTAAAAATCGACTTACCTAAACAGATATAACCATTTTTCACATCACCTTTCATATTTTCTTCAATCAATTCAAGTACATCTTTATCTGATATCTAAAATATTTCACATTATTATGAATATGGCGTAGAGTGTCGAACGTTGATTCGTGAATTTAAATTATGGGATTCGGTATTCCTTAAAGGGATTGTATGTGTATCGTAGCATAAATTTGCGTCATTCCAATTTTCAATGAGACGTCTGTGGTACCTGCAATTCAACTAAAACTAAGAGTTTTATGACGTCACAAATCGCAAAGACTTACGCAATAAAGCATTTTTCGCGATAAGTGACGTCATAAAACACTTAGATTTAATGGAATTGCAAGAGCAACAGACGTCTGATTGAAAATTGGAATGGTGCTATAAGTGTCCCTGATAATTTTTAGGAAACCTTTTACAATCCCTTTAAAAGGTTACCATAAATGATTTGTGTACCAAATTATCACTAGAAATTGCTAGGAATCGCTACAAGGTCTTTAAAAATCATTGATATAAAGACGTTTTCTACCTTTTTATACACTTCAAATATTGCTGGAACCTGTTTATTATTATATTTGGTGAAAATTGATTTAAAATGTTTCTTATCGAGCTTTCCTTTACCATTCTGAAACATACGGAATAGGTTACAAAGGAATTCATACAAGATATCCAATCTTCATCATCTCCAAGAAATAAACTACAGTAAAATCAAACCCTAATAGAACATCTTTATGGAGAAACAATCCCCGGTTTAAGTGGCATGTAACGTTTCGATGTGTTACCCCGTCGTCCTGACGCACAGAATATTTAGACTTCTCTTGAAATGTTGAAATTTTAGTACGGTCTGTAAAAAGACACTATACCTAAATACTTTCATTTTTGAAAACAAATCCACGAGCAGCTAAGCTACTTCATACTTCCAAAAACATATATCTTCAGAACAAACCTTATTCAATTTTTTTGCCTCATCTTCCGATATTTTTTCTTCAATCTTGTCACCCTGAGGTCGTTGACCTTTTACCAATTCTAATAATAACTCTTTAAAATCACCAGAAGTTTCACTTTTTATATTTTTCTCTAAATCTTTCTTATATTCTACAACAAGATAATATAACTTTTAATATCTTTCTCTAAATCTTTCTTATATTCTACAATAAAATAATTTAACTTTTGGTGTCTTTCTCTAAATCTTTCCTATATTCTACAATAAAATAATATAACTTTTGATATTTTTCTCTAAATCTTTCCTATATTCTACTATAAAATAATATAACTTTTGATGTCTTTCTCTAAATCTTTCCTATATTCTACAATAAAATAATATAACTTTTGATATTTTTCTCTAAATCTTTCCTATATTCTACTATAAAATAATATAACTTTTGATGTCTTTCTCTAAATCTTTCCTATATTCTACTATAAAATAATATAACTTTTGATATTTTTCTCTAAATCTTTCCTATATTCTACTATAAAATAATATAACTTTTGATATTTTTCTCTAAATCTTTCCTATATTCTACTATAAAATAATATAACTTTTGATGTCTTTCTCTAAATCTTTCTTATATTCTACAACAAGATAATATAACTTTTGATGTCTTTCTCTAAATCTTTCCTATATTCTACTACAAAATAATATATCTTTTATAATGTATCTCTCGATCGTTTGTGTACTCAAACCAAAAGGTAAAAATTTTGTTTATCGTTTTCTTTCCACAAAAATGTGACATAACTCTTCTGAATTTCTTTTTACACCTTACACAATATTTCTATAAATTCTTTGTTCTTTGTTTGTCAATATTTTTCAATGTATTGAGTCTAGAAACCTAATTAGATCAATAAAAAACTATACCTATCTTGTACTGGTCTTTTATAGTCTTGATTTCCTTAAATAAAATAATTCATTATAAGCACAATGTTAGATACTAAAAGTCTGTATTTTTGCATATAGATTTGTATAAATAAAAATCACAGATGGCGTTTCATCAATCGGTCTAGATCATAGTGATCTTATAACCTGGATTAAAGCATATCCATCAAGTTAAATTGTTTTACCTCTGGTGTTCGTGTTGCTAAGATACCAATTAACATAGATTCATCTGTTCCCATACCACTCATAGCTTCATGTAAACAATCTACATCATATTCTGATGGAGTCATCATTAATCCTAATATTACTTCTTGTAAATCTCCACTTAACTCGGATTTCAGATCTGACATCACATCCTGCAAATAAATTGCAGAATCTGAAAACTCATTACATACATTACACGTCTTTCAATAATTAGAACTAAAATATGTTAACATTCTTCTTCACTATACGGCTCTACACACTTTACTTCTTTTTTCTGGAAGTACCACTAATATGCTATTTGAGAACACCCTTATCCCAAGTCATGTTTAATCGAAATAAAGGTTAATCAACAACGTTGTTGGTGAATATTCATAGTTCATCATCTCTGTTTTGACCAACACGCTATCCGTCTTACCATTGTTGTTGAGTAGTCAAATATCGAAGTAAGCAACAGAAAAAATCGATGGAAATTTCAGATGGTTTACAACAAAAACTAACCTGAACTTTTTTAGATTTTGTGAACCCAAAGTGAAAATAACAGTAGTTTACGTTAGGACAATTAAAGAAAATATTTACCTTATTGTATCTTTCTTTATATTTTTGTCTTATTTCTTGTCTTTGTTGGTTTTTCTTGGTTACAATAACATCAATAACAGTTTGTTCATCAGTACCTAAACCATTCATAGCTTTAAATAATCTTTCTACTTCATCATCAACAGATTTCTCTATGTCTTTAGATTTATCATCGTCTTTAGATTTACCTTTAGGTTTCTCACTATCTTTTGATTTTTCGTTATCTTTTGAATTTATCTTTTCCTCTCGTTTTGTTGACTTAGTATACTTGTTTTCTTTTTGTTTACATTGATTCGTTTTATCGGAACTTTTGCACTTTGTTTCATCCATTTTGCCCTTAGATTTAGAATCCTGCTTATCTTTTCCTTTGCTGCCATAGTCTTTAGAAGTTTTAGTCACTGGACCTGCTGCAGTTTTAGTGAATTTTGCTTTAGGTTTCTTAGGACTTTCATTGGCTATTTCGGCTTGTTCTTCATCATCATCTTCATCTTCGTCTTCATCATCTTTACTGTTACAAAAATGTCAAGGCAAATCAGCTTTTAGTAATCTATTAAACTAGGGAAATGGGGTCGTTGGAAAAGAACAAAAGTTGATTTTCGAGTCCCTGCTGTTAGAAGGTTTGCTTCATTTCAAAAGGAATACCAACATTTGTTAATTATTCAAATACATAGTTTGAATCAAAGTAATATTTTTTCTGTAATAATACAACTATGATGTCGTTATGATTTAAAGTGCTAGCAAGACTAGTCGACAAAGGATGCAAAGATATCTTCTCTCGGATCGTCTATTTCTTATCAGTTGAATGTACTGAACAATCTGATTAAACTTTGATTCAAACTTGGATACTACTGATCATAATCTGGGAATATTTTTCTTAAGAAAATGTTGTTCAGTCGTACAAACAAATCAAAGAAACTGTTAACAGTAGGCTGATAATACAAGTGATTGTTTAACATCAGGTATGACAATTCTCCCTGATAATGAATGGCAAGTCACGAAGCAAGAACACCAATCGAAACCTTAATAAAACCGTGGTGGACTTCTTAATTTTTCTATCCGAAATACGTGAGAAAATAAAAAGAAAATGCATAAAAAATAAACAAAATTATTCGTATAAGGTATATTTGAAATAATAAAAACAAAATGAACAGAAATATATAAAAGCACATATACAATATCTAAAGCCATATTCTTCATATAAAAAAATCATTACTCAAAAAATAATAATTATAACCTGATAATTAAAACATGCGACCAAGATGTAATTCTGAAAACAAAACGCAATGAAGATTTAGAAGAGGTGCTTCTTTGCACAACTGCATGTACCCTTACATTCAGATGTCGCTTTTTCCAAAACTAGGAAACTCTTTTTTAATCCCTCTAATATGAAACGACCCATATAATAGTAAATTGTACAGATCGAAATAATATAACATAATATAATATATAACTACAAATACCATCATACAGTTAACGTGAGTACAATCATTCAATAATTCAAAAGAAATAAAGCAAACACACATTCAGACCGTCAAACATTATCTCCCATCTCCCTTTCTATAGTGCCATATTGTAAAATTCAGTGATTCGTATAGCGTGCGGGCACACGAACTGTCTTGGTCGCCGATTTTTGAGGCCGACTAGAACTTTGTGAAGAGTTTTGCCGACCGGTTGAGGTCAAACAAGGAGACGAAATTCTCCAGTCACTCGTTTTCCAATATGTCGATAAGGAAAATGAATCAGATTGGATGGTGACGCTTTGTCTTGCTCACGGTAAAATAAAGAGAGACAAATATCACACTTGCTTGATATTATAAATCCTATCGGCTAAGCGATAATCTTGTCGTGTAAGTACGGGCACATGCTAGATATTACTCAAGATTCGATACAAGCCTGTTCGTTCCCTAAGGTTGAATCTAACACAAGGTCAATTCGGGTTTTGCACGGAAATCTTACAAAAAAAATTAAAGTTGAGTTAAACTGGAATATGACTCTCTTCACCTGCGGAAAGAAGCGACTTATTCTTAAATTTCACTAGTGGGTATATAGAGCATATTTGCGTGCAAAACCCAAATATGGCTTTCAGAATAAAAAGGTGGAACAAAGCAACTAATGTGACTGAAAAATATCATAAAAGTAATAAAAAAATAACAACTTCGTGATTTTGATTTCAAGCAAAAAACGAAAGGTACAAAAAGACATGATCAATAGAAGGTAAAATGCCACGGCGGGTAAAAAGTCAACATGCATCTTACTTTTCACCAATTATTTTTAATAAAGCTTTCTTATAGTCCCCACTACACTCTGAATCTACCATATCATTTAACGTTTTCTTATTCTTCTTCTTGTATTTTCCCTTAATGGTGGCTAGATCAATCTGGAATTTAAATGCACAAATCTGATCGAAATTTTAACCATAGAAATAAATTAACCATAAATTAACCTTGTAATAACAAGAGTAGCATAGTATCTTATCGCAAAGAAACCTTAAATGAATGGGGCTTCAATGGGAAAGAACTGAAGAAAAGTAAAATAGGGAATTCCATATTTAGGTCAAGTAAATAGTTTCAAGTTTTTAAAAATCATGAACATTTTTCAACAGAATCGTAATGTCTACCATTATATTTAGTTGAGATTTGTATTTTACCTCAGATCGGGTAACTATTATTCTGATGAGTTTACTATCGTTAGTCCCCATACCATCAGCAGCTTCTTTTAGTTGATCACAATAAAATGTAGCTTCATCATTTTCACACATCTTGCCTGAAACAAAGTACTCAGACATTTCTGCAAGGATCTCAATCGAATGGTATGGACATAACGCACAGTTGGCACGTCACAAACCAATAAGACAAGACTAAAGGTGTTGCATGGAAAGATTATTACCTTGACTGCAGTAGTCACTTATCATGTATCATAATTATCAATGTCATGTTTACAATTTACATCCTTTCTATCGAGGGCTGAGATTGGCTGTGTTTGCTGGGGTACAAGCCAAGCAAATCGCTGTATTCCTTGACATAAAAATAGTGATTATTGCAGAAGATATTAGTACATATAAATAGCTTGACTTTGTAAAGTTGTTCTTTCTGTGCACGTTCACCATTCCAGAACACGTTGTACATGAAGCGTTGCACAACTCTGCCTCCATTCTGGAGAGTCCAATCAGCCATTGCATGTTTTCTTTACTGTATTCAAAGATTGGTTTGGAATCTGGTTAATAAAAATGTGCTTACCTAAAGTTATATATGCATCTTTGGCATCACCTTTTAGATTCTTCTTCATGGTGTCATAAATATCTTTTCCTGATAGCTAAACATTGAAAAGAAATTATAAATGTTTTGCTATTAATGTTCTGGCAAATGTGAAAGTTTTGAGATAGGTAAATGCACTAATGAACGATAAAGCATTTTTATGGGCAAGCTTTCTTTTAGAATTATGGCCTATAATTATGAGTTCTAATACTGGGTTCTTTTGAATTTGTCCCTAAAGGATTTGATATACAAATAAATCATACCTTCTTATATTCAGCAAATGTGGCTTTGATCTGTTCCGAGTTCTTCTTCGTCATCAAATTCTTAAATACCTCATCATCTGGTTTTCCTTTACCGTCCTAAAAAATAGACAGTATTACGCCTAAACGTTTCAGAGTCTGTTTCTTTTTTTCAACATATTATTTCACCCAATCCAAATACGACACACGGATGTTAAATGACAAGGGATCGGACTACCAATCCACATAAAAGTCACCAATTTCACAAAAAAATGGCGTATGAATCACCAAATGGTTCTATCACTGCGCTTGGATGGTGATTTAATACTAAAAAGTTTTCTAAAGAACTACATACTAAAAATGATTTTGTGATTGGCATTTACAATCTAAAAAATGCAGATAAAGAAAGTATCTGGCGGTTTAAGAGTAATTCATCTAATTACCATGTGAATTTTCTTAGCATCCTCTTCAGCATCTTTCTTATTAACCGTTGATCCCTGCGGTTTGTCTCCTTTTGATAGAGCTAACAATAATTCTCTAAAATCTCCACTCGTATCACTCTCTATAGCTTTATCTAAATCCTTTTTATAAGCTGGAAATAAGGAATATAAGTTTTCCATTTTACTGTTAGGTAACTGTAACTGGAAAAGCCTCCCTCACATGATCACATATAAATATAAATCGTGTATGGGAAAGCAAAATTCATGTTGACATGGTCTTCAGGAGGGGTGCTACTTTTGGGCGAATGGAAAATATAAATTTAAACAACCTATTTTTTTAAATCCAAGTGAGAAATCAAAAGCGAAAACACCTTTCTTTGTAAGGCCTTGTAGGTTGGGACATGAACCTCCATTCGACTTTGCAATCTATAGCGCGACCAAGATGTGGCTTCTCTTGTTGATCTATTTTTTTATTCTCTCGGCTAGATAGTTAGAGATAAAAGACAAATATATTATTTGCCTTGTTATTTATGTAATATTTGATAACCTACTTACCTTTCTTGTATTCTGATTTTATCGATTTCATTTCCTGTAAAAAAAATAACGATAATAATCTATACAACGAATAATTATATAAATTCGGAATAGCTATAGATCCAAATCTGCTTGCTGTCTACATATAGTAGGTGGTAGTAGGTCCTATTTGGTACAGTTACTTAGTCAATCATTGAACACTGAATGGAAGGAGTATGGTTTTTATCTGTTAAATCTGTGTTCTCACATACTATCAGTTGAATAGCATCAACCAAGGAAATAGCAAGGCCGCAAAAAGCTGGAGCATTGAACCATCTTCACTCCCAAACTGTGATGGTTGTGTTTTAATCCTATAAATAATTATCAACTCACGGACGGTGTTTTGGTTGCAAGCAGTGTCAGTAACATAGATTCATCTGTACCAGCTCCAGATATAGCTTCATGGAAACAATGAACATCATACTGATTTGATGGCATCATCAGGGCAAGAATGACTTCTTCAAAATCACCACTTAATTCAGATTTCAGATCAGAAACCAGATCCTATACGAAAAGAACTCTATTTGTGATTATCATTCAAACTTTTTAAGCATGCTTATTGATCCAATAATTAAGTGAGTAGTTTTGCCTCACTTCTCTTCGGCATGATTCAATTTCTATAGATCATTCACATATTCATTAATAATAAAATACCCAGAAATAAAAAGTGATGCGATCATTATAGTTAACTAAAAATCTTGAAATAACTTTCTGTGTAGGTCAGAATCGATATTGAAATATCTATAGCACAATTATTAATCTACATTACATAACAGCTTGAGCAAATGGATCAAAACTTACCCTTTTCTTGTATTTTTGTGCATATTTTTGTTTTAAAGTCTGTCTTTGAGCATTATCTTTAGAACATATAATATCTATAATGGTCTGTTCATCTGTACCCAATCCATCCATAGCTTTCCGTAATCTTTCACAATCATCATCAGGATTAAAATTGTCATCTGGTTTCACTGTTGGACCTTCAGATTGTTCTGAACCTTTCTTTGAACTTTGTTTACCATCACCACCCTTCTGCAAAAACACGAATAGATTAAAGAGTCCAATGTGCCTCAGTGTCAAATACCAGTTTCATTTTCGCGCAAATTGTATTACATTCTGCATATATAAGGCTTAAAAGTATCTGTTTCGAAAAATATTTTTGAAAAATAAAAAGTAAAATGACCAGTAATTATGACGAAACGTTACATTAGCTATAAATACCTGCAATCCTCATTGAAAAACGCCCAAATCGGAGCAGCCAAATTTCATTTAAAAAAAAAAGAACAGAAAGCATGCTATAGAATAATCTTGCGGAATTTTAAAATTAATTTCAGGAAGAAAAAGGTTGTGGCCTTACTTTAGGTTTTGGTGATTTACTAGCTAGAGCTTTTAAAACTTTTCTTGTAGGTCCTGCACATTTATCATCAATATCTTGTTTTATGTCAGCATCATATTTCTTTTTATAAGTTTTACACACAGCTGGCATATCAATCTAAATTGTGTGCAAGACACCATTAGAAATTAAAAAGTGTAAAGAGGAATCTACATCTGAACAAATCTTACCACCTAGAATTGGTGCTATTACAAGCTTTGCCTACTCGCGTTCGTAATACCTCGTATAAGGTACCAGAGTATCAAGAATTGCAATTTAAGTTGATTTAACACAATGTCACATGGATGTCCAGTAAAGAAACATGATGATATGGTCAAAATAGAATTTTTGGCCTCTGCCTTTATGAACCCATGAAATAATTATATATGTTTTTCACTTTCGAGTGTGTATATTTTATACACCTCCGAGCATCGAATCACCACTAACGTATGGTGATGCATGAATGTTTCCAAGTAGATGTCTATTAAATATAACACGGTGTTCTAAAATACCATACCTCTGATCTGGCAACTAGCGTATTAACAAATTCTGGATTACTGTGGCCAATATTTCTGAATAATTTTTCGGCGTAAAAACCTTCTGAATCTTTTGTGCAATTTACTGGAAAAAAGGATTCAATTCTACAACAGATTTTAAAGTAAAGAAAGTAAACGATCTTCAATGTGAAAAAATCACATAGTCTGGAAATAGCAAGAAGAATCTAGAGAAAAATGTTCTCACCATAAGAGGTGACGGCTTGTGTATAATCACTAGGACATTCTGATTTCATTGTGTCTAAAGCTTCTTTACCACCAGCAACCTGTATAAACAGAGTTGAGAAAAAAAGTTTTCTAATATGATAGTTCTGAAACAAATACTTCATCCCTTATCCATCTTATCTTTGAAACTTACATTTAATGTTCCGATGAGTTACAATTTCACAATGCTTACGAACCACCATTTTGTTCTTGTAGAAAAGAAAACAGTACATTACACGGACAGCATCTTCCAGTTTCTATTTTCCATGTGATTCTAAATCTCCCGATTCCAATGTAACATATGGTTATTACCTGTTTGTAAAGTTTCAACACCGTCTGTGTATGAGATACACTTTTACTGTCTAATAATTTTATAAATTTACCACTTGCAGTTGTCCATCTTCCATCCCCCGACTAAAAAGATAAGAAACTATTTTGTATATAATACGTGGGTACAGATACACTGAATGGTATGCCGATAGTCCTGGCAGTACCTAAGTCTTGGTTTGGTTATTTCAGTTTTGAAGACATTGATGCATTGCCTCCCTTTGACTGCCTGATAATCATCTTTAAATTGCTTCGATATTTTCTGGAGACCAAAGTCTACTCTTTTCATATTTAATTTTGTGGCCTAAGACATCTGTACTATGGTAATGATAGAATTGTATAAACTGATTATATGGTTTGAAAATGACGTGACACATTCTTAAAAACTGAATGAAATACATATCTTACATTGAGTACCAGTGACCTACCTCAAATAATTCTACTGCGTCTTTTTGTGCTGTTTTTCCATCAACGTCACTTGACTCATCTTTATTGGTCTACAACAAAAAAAAATTCAGTTAGACTCAGATCAACCTTGTGATTTTCAAGGCAATAAGCATCTGAGCATCTGAACAAAACCAGAACGCATCAACAACTGAAAATCGCAGTTGCCTTCAGTTGCTTTTGACGACTGCGACGTATCTCATGAGTTGCTTTGAATTTTTAGTCGGACTGAATCCACAATAGAAAAAACAATGATATTAATTGAATTCTGGTTTTACTCTTTCGAAATCAGAGATATTATTCAGGGACTGGATTTACATACTAGTTTTGCGTGGATAAGTTGGTAAGAGGTACTGTCTTAGTGTGCAATTAAACGAATGCAAAGGCTGCTTATGATCTCTTAATTCAAATTGCGAAAATCAGATAGTTAGTGGAGAATCTTGTTTAAAACCACATAGACGACCAATGATTATTTTTGTCCAAAACAGAGCAAAACGATTGTTTTATACCTTGGATATTGTAACTAGAAATAGTTCAATTGGATCTTTATATTTCCCATTTATTGCACTTTCTACACTCTTTGAATATTCTGAAACAAGAATTCGTTATCGTTATAACAAGAATAAGTATCAAAAACGGTGTAATTCCATACAAGAAGATCTTCAATGGGTTCAACGTAGTCACTTGTCATTTTTTAATATCTTCAGTTCCATCTAGAAATGTCAATAATTCAACGATAAAGTTCTAACAAAATATCGACCTACCTTTTCTATAAACATCTTTTAATTGTGACAAACTTTTATTATCTTTTGTACCAATTATTTCTATAATACTGTTCGTGTTTTGATTCTGTAAAATATTCAAAATAATACAGATGAAAAGAAACAGTTGAAACGACTTCAACGGTTTTTACCCTGTTAAAGATATTCAAAAACTCTTAAAATTATCCAATATGCAGTGTTCTAGAATTTTTTTTAAATATAAACTTGAATACATATTTCTATAATTGAATATTAACTAAAATATTTATCTATTTGCAGGAAAGTAGAATAGTGACCTGTATTGCATTGTGTAGGTTTTCAGCATCTGCTAAATCTTGTTCTGTTAATAAAGCATCAATAATAACATTCCAGTCACCACCTAGACCTTCTTTTAATTCTTTATCTAAATCCTAAAATATGATATTACATTGTATAGCTTTATTTTAATCAACTTAGTTGTTTATGATACTGATAGTCCAAATCTGATTATGTTCTTTATTTTCTATAGACTGTATAATGGGTGCTAGGGTACTTGAGTAGAATAGCGAATTGTTTGATTTTAAGGCTATAATTATTAAATGGATAGAGAATGATAATAATGAAAAGTAGAACAGAGTCAAATAATAATGGGATTCTGTTTATCTATAAAAGTTTTTACGACGACAAATCTTCCGACGAGGACGACGAGCTGATGTTGCTCCTGTTCATGATGATGAAGATGATGATAGCTCTTACCAGATCATACTTTTCTTTGAACTTAGCTTTCGTTTCCATTCTTTGCTTATGAGTTTTTTTAACTAGAGTTTTAATTAGAACATCTTGGGATTCTTCTTCATCTAAAATACAGAGAGATCCTATGATATATCGAAGGTATCAAAACACTCTCTCATTGTATATAAGAGAATCTGTGCAAGAAGAAAATATAGAATATAGGAATTAGATTAAAAAAGAAGGAATAGTTACCTAATAATTCCTTTGAAACTTTGAATAGTTGCTTGACATCACGATCACTCTGTAAATCATTCTTATTGTCCTGCAACATTAGGAACAGATCTTTAAAAACAATATAGGAGACAATGCTTCAGAAACTATGTAAGCTTTGATACTTATAAAAATACACTGATGCATGGTGATGTTATCTAAGAGTTAATTACTAATTTGTTAATTTCTAGTCATAGTTCACATCAAGCAGACACTACAGTATTTTTTTAATTAGACGGATACTCAACTTGTTCTATAACCTTCTCAAACACGAAGTTAAAAATAAAATAAGTGTAAGAGACACAGACATCAAGGTGATTCTATTGAGCACAGTGTCTCGTGACGTTATCAACCAATCAAAGCGTGTCTTGCTGGACCCATTTTTTTGGAAAACGGTGACAAATTGTGGGATAGCGGAACAGTAAGATACTGTATTGTTCTTCAGTGGGTTTGTCTCTACCAGAAATTCGTTATGTTATCAAGAAACGGGTGTACATGATACGTTTTTGATTGGTTAAAATCAACGTCATAAACTCGGGACTGTGGTAAAAAAAAAACTTTTGGATTACAATGGAGACGACAATATCACCGGAAAATGTAATCTAATTTTAATGAGAATGATACCATTAGATTATATTAGGGTTTGGTATATATTATGAAATAATTAGAAAATAAAACATCACCTCATTGCCCGCCTTTTTGTTTTTCTTATTTTTATCTTTACTATCATCCTTGTTCGATCCACCCTTAGTTTTCTCACCACGACTTGGGTCTTTTTTATCCTTTATTAATTAGCGTTAATGTTAACAATAACGATTAATTAGAAACGAATAACAATGTAAGTATTATCAAATCAACATTAGACATAGTAAAGTTAAAACAAATTTTGGTCTGTTATCCAGAAAGAGGCAAATGGCAGTCTTAAGTTGTCCTGGTGTTCATTAAAGAACAAAATAATGATGTTCCTCTTTGGCACCCAAACGTAGGATAGATTTTTTTGACATCATGCAAATTGTTAACTGTTAATTTACAGAATCTACACACATCAAAGCAATTATTAAATGCATATACGTAAAATAAGATTTGAACAGTTGAAACATGGGTTAGAATTATTTAACACCTAGTATTATAAAAAAATACAAACAGTGGTCGCCCACCCAGCAGTCTGGGTTAATTTCATTAAATGGATTAATTTCCGATCAAAACTATAGACTCTATCGTGGTCACAATTTGTCAAGGGCAAAAACCAACAGACTGTTCACTCACGAATTTCATATTCTTTCAAGACTCCACCAAGTTTCATCAAAATCGGTCATCATATTTTTGGCTAAATCG